ATAACAGGGTTCAAAAAAGAACTTGGTAAGTTCATGGAGGATAGGTCCATCAATTGCTATTGGCCAGAATGGGCAGGGATGGTGTCCCTAGCCTCTGTTTGCCAGAGGCTGGGAATGGGTGACAGGGGATGGATCACTTGATGATTCCCTGTTCTGTTCAGTCCCGCTTGGGCACCTGGCATTGGCCATTGTCGGAGGACAGGATACTGGGCTAGATGGACCTTTGGTCTGACCCACTATGGCCGTTCTTATGTTCTTATGTCTCCTTTATAGCCAATTCCCCCAGCAGTGTGTGTGATCAGATTCCAGGGGCATGGCTCCTTAACAGTACTCTTGCCTAGTGGGCCAGTCATTGGTGGGTTCATGTCTTATGTGTGGACTCCAAACCACCCCCGTTTCTGATCCAGGGCAGCACGAGGGGGTCCCAGAGATGCCTTTTTGGAATAAGGTATTAAATTGTCCCTTCTGCTGGCTGCCTGGTTGGAAGTTAAAGTCGTGTTTCACCCACAGGAAAAGATTTGTGGGTGCTTAGCACCCACTGGCAGCCAGCTCCCCCTTTTGCCCCCCCAGCGCCTCCCGCCCACTTGCTGCCACACCGCTCAGAACCTCCCCGCGCCTCCCCGCCTCCCAGCACCTATCGCCCGGCGTGATCAGCTGTTTCCTGGCGTGGTGGAGGCTCTGGGAGGGAGGGGGAGGAGTGGGGATGGGGCACCCCGGGGGGAGGGGGCGGAACTGGGTGGGAAAGAGGCGGGGCAGGGGCAGGGCAGGGCAGGAAGAGATGGGGCAGGATGGGGGCTGGGGGAAGGGATGGGGTGGGGATGGGGTCTGGGGCGGAGCGGGGGAGGGAAGAGGTGGGATGGGGGCGGGGGCTTGGGGGAAGGGGTCGGGTGGGGGCAGGGCCTGGGGTGGAGTGGGGGGTTGAGCACCCCCCGGGCCTGGAGGAAGCCGGCGTCTATGTCGTGTTTGAAGAGATCAGGGGAGAACCCTTGTGTCTGAGCTGAATTTTCTTCTCCTGGTAAAACAAACTCCACTTTTCAAGGCTGCATGGGGTCTATTGCACATAGTGATGGCTTCATAGCCCTCCACGGACACTGAGCAGTCAGTGTCTAACTCATGCAATGCACTCCAGGGTCTCTGGATAGCATTGTGTCAAACCAGATGTGATTCTACTCTGTGCCATACGAATCGCCAGTCAACCAGGGCTTGCTCATTTTCCTCTGAATTCTTCGAGCTGTTGAATCAGAGCGTTATCGCTCCAGTCATCAGCCCAGATGACGCCGAGTACCAAAGAGATTCTTACCTAGCAGAGAGCCTCCGCAGAAGGGCTGCGATCCCCTATACAGCATGGCGATCCACGGAGATACTCCCCGCTGGGCATAGCGTCCGTTGGAAATCCGAGCCAGCAAACTCCTGGAAAACTTTGGCTTCCCACACACTGAAACCGCAAGGAGTAAGGTCAGACGCAAGAGAGACATATGTGAAACCCCACCTGAGAAACCGAGTTTTCTAGCATAGATGGAAGCAAATCCCCAGATCAGTTGTTTACACTGGTTTTATTGGGAATTTGAGTAAAACCGGAGTAAAGATTGCGTCAGGACCCCAGGATTCGGCTTAGTCAGATGTTACTACAAGACATCAACAAGAAATCATCTCCTGTTGAATTCTAAACAGTTCCCAAGACCCCTTCCCCCTCAGTTCACCTCCCCCGCATCTGATGTCATTTCTCTAAATATATCCAGCGTAAGTGTGATGGAGTTACCTGAGAGTTACTGGATTATCACAGAGCAAAATATGGCCCCTTGGCATCCCTGAGACGCAACCAATGGGGACCCCAGGCCTCCAGAGAGAAAAGGCTCATGGAGCAACTCACTTTGCAGCCCGTATTCCATAGATTTGGGTTTTTTTTAAAATGTAGCTGCACTTTGGGACAAGTCCTGAGTCCCTTGGCTGGGTTCTGATGCAGGCACGTTGCCAAGGAAGCCAATGGCAGTAGGCGGTGAGAGTTCCAGAGGTGACCGAGTGACTTAGAAGCACAAATAACACTGAAAGTCAAGGGGACTTACACTCGTAAATCATTCAAAGTTTGTCTTACATGGCGTTGTACACCAGGGGCTGTGGGACCCGGGCTTGTGGACTCGGTGTTTCCAAGACTGTGCTGGAGTGTCCACACTGCACTGGAGACCTGGGTTTACAATGGCCGTACCTGGGTCTCACAGCCATGCTAACGTGTCTCTATTGCACCATGCAGACCTTCTGCCTCAGGCCTGCAGCTCGGCCTACGTCCGCCCTGCAGCATGACCAGCCGAGGACCAGAGTCACGGCATGACTCGGGTTCTGACCCACCCCGCAGCTGGATCTAGGGCCTCGCTCCTGTTTGCTCGTTGACCTGAATCAGGCTGATTTGAGTATGGACAGAGGAGCGGCTTGGGCTCAAACCAGAGGCCAGGCAGGACTTAGTGCGCAGTTTAGATACTCTGGAAAATCCCCCCTCGAATGAGCAAAACTGAGACAGGACTTTAGGATCTGGCCCTCTTAAAAAAGCTCTTGAGTAGCTCTTGAAAGTCTTGGAGTCACTGTGGAGAGTTCTCTGAAAACATCCACTCCGTGTGCAGCGGCCGTCAAAAAAGCAAACAGAATGCTGGGAATCATTAAGAAAGGGATAGGTAATAAGACAGAAAATATCATGTTGCCTCTAGATAAATCCAGGGTACGCCCACACCTTGAATACTGCGTGCAGATGTGGCCGCCCCATCTCAAAAAAGGTATATTGCAATTGGAAAAGGGTCAGAAAAGGGCAACAACAATGATTAGGAGTATGGAAAAGCTTCCGTATGAGGCGAGATTAATAAGACTGCGACTTTTTAGCTTGGAAAAGAGATGATAAGGGGGGGATATGATAGAGGTCTATAAAATCATGACTGGTGTGGAGAAAGTAAATAAGGAAGTGTTGTTTACTCCTTCTCATAACACAAGAACTAGGGGTCACCCAATGAAATTAACAGGCAGCAGGTTTAAAACAAGCAAAAGGAAGTATTTCTTCACACAATGCCCAGTCAACCCGTGGAACTCTTTGCCAGAAGATGTTGTGAAGGCCAAGACCATAAAAGGGTTCAAAAAATAATTAGATACATTTATGGAGGATAGGTCCATCAATGGCTGTTCGCCAGGCTGGGCAGGGATGGTGTCCCTAGCCTCTGTTTGCCAGAGGCTGGGAATGGGCGACAGGGGATGGATCACTTGCTTATTACCTGTTCTGTTCATTCCCTCTGGGGCACCTGGCCCTGGCCACTGTAGGAAGACAGGACGCTGGGTTGGATGGACTTTTGTCTGACCCAGTGTGGCCGTTCTTATGTTCTTATAGCCTAGCCCATGCAGTGTCGCACTGATCATAAATCCTGTATGTGCATGATCCATGGTCTCCCATGGTATGACTCTGAAGCATGTATGTGTTGTTCACTGGCAATGATGGGATGGGACTCAAAGGCCTGTGTAGTGGGGTAGTCACCCCGCTCCGCCCCTGAAAGGGTTAAAAGCCAGCCCTTGGAGCGGGCTGGGACTGAAAGCCAAAAAGGAAAGGCTGAGAGGTGGCCAATCAGGGCCAGGCCGGGCCCTATAAAAGAGCTGCAGGGCCAGAAGGCACTTAGTCTCTCCCTAGCTTTGGAGTGAGAAGAACCTGGCTGCCTGGGAGCACAGGGTACCTGAAGCAGACCAGTGCTAGGGAAGGGTAAGAGGAGCTGGGGAGCTCCAGCCTGGCAACTCCCCAGGCTGAGGCCTTGTTAAAGGCCTAAGGAGGTACTGGGGCTGCAGAGATACAGCCTGGGGAAAAGCAGAGGCAGCTGGTCCAACCCCCTTGCCAATGATGAGTGACCATTACAGACTGCAGTCTGCCCCAGGGAAAGGGGGCTAGATGATGACTGGCAGTAGCCACTTAGGTAAGGTGGGCCTAGGGGGAGGGGGTTCCCCTGGGAGGGGAGACCCAGAGTGTGGGGGTGCTACTGTGGGGCAGCACTCCTAGGAACGGGCACCAGGGTCTGGGAGGGACACGGGGAGCCAGTGGCAGGCAAGACACCGGCCAGCAGGAGGCGCTCCGAGACTGGAAAGAGCTAATTCCTGGACTGACCAGCAGGAGGCGCCGTAGTGGTGAGTGCTCGATCTGCTACAGCCTGGCACTGGGGGGGCAGGAGGGGTGAACTGCACTCAAAGAATGAGCCATGCTGGAAGATGGACCAGCACTCCAAGAGCTAGGACTGGGGTGGTGGATTGGCACGGTGCATGCCAGCAGCTGGGGATGGGTCGGCATGGCATGAAAAGCTGTCAGACCACTTAGAAACTTTGAAAGCAGCCTTTTAGTTAGCCCCAGGTTTGATACTCTATAGTCCCTCTCTCTCCTTTATTAGAAGGATGTTTGCATGGAGGTATTTGCTTGTTTCATATGCATTCCTCTGCTCCTTCCTCTCTGCCCGAAGACACCTCAAAGATGGTCTCGATGCAGAGGAGCGCGTTCCCTGTTTTGCAGTCCTCAGCAAGGAGAGGACACTTGGTCATTGGTAGGTTGAATCCCACTGATGCACACAGGGCTAAACTGATCATGGGTCAGGAAGGAATTCCCCACCCAGGGGCACGCTGGCAGGACCCAGGAGTGATGTTTCGCTTCTCTTTGGGAGCAGGGATTGTCTGCTGGGATCAAATAGGTGTATCCACATATGGCTAGTTGCCCGTGGCCCCAGGGGTTGGACGTTGGTAAGCCTCACCCTTCCCATTATTCCCCGTGCTTTGGCGCATTATTTTTGTGATTGGATTAAGAAGAGGAGAAAGCTCGTGGCTCAAATGCACTGGGAGGGAGAAAGCTCGTGGCTCAAGTGCACTGGGAGGGGATGCACATCAAGAAGAAGCCCTGAGGTTGTGGAAGTGGGAGGAGCCCAACACTGCAGGTGAATGCCCATGAACTTCACTCAGACGGCAGTCTCCTGGTTAGAACAGTGGATTGCCAGGACACGTGCTTTGTTCATACCAGGGCTTTATTTCCTTCCCGGTAAGAATGATACAGACAGTCCATACGCAGCATTCGACAGCTGACAGAATAGAGTACAAAAAATATAATATCTTCTAACTACGTGGCGTAGTCGGGATTACAGGCCGTAGCATGTGTGTACCACAGACATGTTCCTTTGGTCTCCGGAGGATCTCGCTCCTCTTGCTGCTATCTGCATTGCTTAAATGATTGTGGGTCAAAGCCTGAGGGTCTAGTTCAGTGTTTGCTCACCCCATACCCAGGTAAAACTCCCCAGGTCTGAGTAAAAACAAGCCAGAATAGTAAGGTTTGGCCCAACAGAAGCTATATGCAGGTATCCATCAGAGAGCAGCTACCCTTCCGTGTTTTACTAACCGGCATCGCTATGTGAGTGTACATGGGGGCTCACAAGTACACAGAGGAGAGAGTTTAAACACCTGGCGAGCTAGACATGTACAGAGTGTGGTTTTTTTGGTTTGTAAGAGCCGCTTTCGCTGAAATGCTTTTGCTGTAAATAAACACTTTGCTTTAAGGAGGCATCTGGTCACTGGGTACCACCGTCACGCTCCATTGCAGGAGCTGAACGTAATGGGACTGTAGTCCCGACCCAGTCTGAGAGAGGGAGAATCGCGTGATTCCACCCTACGCCAGCTGACGACTCGAGGCTTGAGGCTCAGGATGGGGGAGGCACTCAGAGACCAGGAGGGGTCAGCAGTGCCGTTTGCCCAGTAGCTGTGACATGCACCACACCCAGAAACAAGTCTCCAGTGAACCTGGGGTTGACTTCTGCCCAAATCTGGGTCAGTTTTTGGAGTCATGCTGAAGGTATCCAAACTCAGGAGTTTTATGTGGCTTCAATGTGCAACCAAGGGAAACATGGGAGATTTGGCTTTGGGAACCCTCCAACTCAAAGCAGAACTCACATGGGGCATACCCCACTGGAAATGAAGTGCAAGGAAAGGATTGCAAATGCCTGCCAAGCCACACAGCCCTGGAAGAGAGGGAAGACTGTATTGCAGTGCGCGTGCGTGTAGCGTGGAAACTCCTTTGCCTGGCTTTATTCTGCTTTATACTCTGCCCATCTCGCTCTCAGAACAAGCTGGGTTTGCTAGCAAGAGGGATTCGTCCTCTCACCAGGCATTGATAGTGTTAAGCTCCAACGCACACGCTGCAAGTCACAGCATCACACGCTCAGCGCGGACAATGGGGCCCACTGGACTCTAGAACAGGGAAAGGGTCGTGCGTAGTAAGTGCCATGAAATGCACCCGGACTCTCCCCATCTGGGATGAAGCTCAGGCCATTGCTTGGCAGTCTGTGCTTTGTAGGGGGAAGACGGAAAAGCCTGGGTGTAGTGCAGTGCAGAGGTCTCTCAATCACTGAACCTCTGTGTGCTGTGCTTATAGGCTTCTCATGCCACAGGTGTAGTGGGCATAGCCTCATCATCGCTAAAGAACTGATGCTATCCTAGGAAAGGGAGCAAGGAAACCTCCACCCAGACCCCAGCCTAGGGCACCAATGGAAGGGAGCAGGATGGATTTCACACCCTTTGCTCCTGTGCGTCCACACTGAAAAGCCAGCTCCGAGTTTAGCAGCTGTGGCGTCTCAGCGCAGAGAAGATGGAGGCGGAAACAGCAGGGAAAGCATGCACTGGGTGGGCTCGATTTGGAGCTGATGGTGAACATCAATCCAGGAGTTGCTGAAGTCAGTGGAGTGACTCTGGATCTACACCAGTGTAAACGATATCAGGATCTGGCCTCAGAGGACAGAGCTGGGATATCTTGTTTCACTCTGAATTCTGGTCAGTGACCCCCGTCCCCAAATGCATGTCAGTTAAGGGCAGATTCTGGTGCCTTGACCTAGCCAGAAGCCCTGGTGGAACCATGGCCTTTATTCTGGACTGATGTTAGGACACCACTGACCGCCTGGTGCTGAAGGGAGCTTGGTTTGAAGATAAAGCAGGATAAAGAGATCAGCAAGAACCCCCTCCCCTCCCCTGTTATCGCTATCAAGGAGGTGAGCTCTTTGTCTGGAGTCAGGGTGAGGGGCTTTGTGGGCCCTGTGTCACTTCAGCTGGGCTTTCCTGCCTCTCCCCGCCCCGGGGGAATTTCAGAAGTGGGTGTAGTGCTGGTGGAATGTGCTGGCTTGACAGCTCTGGGTGCTGATGGCCTCTCTGCACAGCGCGGGGTGCAGGTCAGGCAGCGGCAGGGCACGGCTTCCCCCGTGAGGGTACGTCAACCCTGACCTGAAGGAACCATCCCTCAGCAAGCGTGAGGGTGCAGGTCAGTCTCCACAGCCCCACCCAGTCCTTGGCCCCTCTGCGCAGATGCCGGCACAGGGGCCAGGTAGCCGCGGAGGTATCTTCTGGGTGACGTGGATGCCTGTCCCGCTAAGGAACCTGGCTGAGGTCCACCAGCTCACATCCCATGAGCCGCTGAGCGGACGTTTCCTACGACCGCACATGAAGGAACGTGATGCCAAGCAAACCTCGTGAAATAAGGCTGTAGGGGACTGAGCGTTGCAGAAGACCAGAATCGTGCCTGCTGGCTGGGGCGAGCTCATCTCTTCAGCTCAGGATCCAGGAATGTCCACCTGTGTGAGGATCCCATCTTCTCCCCCACCCAGTCCACGTAGTTAGACACTTTGGTGTACACCCCGTACACTTGCTTGCTTCCGCACTCTTCTGGCCCACCCCACGAGACCAGGCCTTGGGCCACCCACCTCTGGGTCCTGGGGTCCTGAATGACGAAGGCTCCTCCGCTGTCTCCCAGGCAGGTGTCCTTCCCCCCTTCATAATAGCCAGCACAGAACATATTCTCAGTCACGCTGTAGTTGCCCGAGCGGGACTCGTAGCTGGTCTTGCACTCGGCATGCAGTACCACCGGCAGCTTGACGTACTGCAGGATGTCGGACAGCGTCCTCATCCCCGAGCTGATGATCTCGTCCACGGTGATGTTGGGGTTGGAGATGCCCCAGCCAGCCACCAGGCCCAAGGTGTTGGGGTGAGGCCCTTCCAGCTCGTGCTCAAACTGGGGCAGGCAGACTGGCATTACGTAGGCATCCATGATCACCTTCTCCTTCAGCTTGACCAGGGCGATGTCATGGTTGTAGTTCTGGATGTCAAATCCCCCGTGCAGGATGATCTCCTCCACCGTCCGGTTGATGGCATCCTTCTTGTTCCTCACGTCATGTAGGCCCAGGTAGACTGTGACGTGTTCCTTGGACACTGGGATGATGGTGTTGTCCCGGCGCTGGGAGCGGAGGACGTGAGCCGCCGTTAGCACCCAGGAGTCAGAGAGGAGGGCCCCGCTGCCGAACCACTTGTCGTTGGGGACCCTGGACGTGTCCTCCACTACGATCAGGGCCTGCCAAGGGAAGAAGCCGGGCTCTGCGTTCCGCCCTCCAATGATGCGCTTGATTATCCCGGGGAGAGGGCGAACTGGCTGGCCACACACTGGTGAGAGAAAGGACAGGACAGTTAATCTAACGGGGCAAGCACTTCCACAGGAAACAGCAGAAAGGCGATTCTCCAGTAGATTATGCCAGTTTGGATTGGTCTCTTAAGAACCAAATACTCTTATTTCTGTCCCCAGGGGCCAATCCTTGTTCTCGTGGACATCTGTGCTGGAAAAGACCCAACCCCGTCTGCCTCTGCAGGTTTGGTTCCTACAATATATACACCAGGGCATGGAGCAGGCTGATCTTTAAATGACATGGGCACCCCAATTCCATGTCCTGAATGGGCCTTCTCTGTTATGTCTGGAAAATGGGTACATACATTTTTCTACCTTCTTGGAGTCCCTAAAGATAGTCACTCGCTCCATAGCTTGGTGGAATTGGTTGGGCTGGGAGGGACCCCCTAATGGAGTACCATGGTCCATTACTCTAGTGTTGTGGCAGGGGTGGTGGTGATAACCATAATTGCTTAGCCTTATTATGCTCCTGTTTAATGTCAGTCAGGGCCTATATGGGTTGCCCCAGAGTCTGCTGAAGACGCTGGGTCTGCCCATTGATTTCAATGGGCTTTGGAGTTAGGGCCAGATTACTTCCATCACTAGGTCTGAGCAGTCCAGTAGACAGGGCACTGGAATGTGCCTCAGGAGATCTGGGTTCTAGTCCTACCTCTACCATTGATCTCCTGGGCAAGTCGCTTTGTGCCTCAGTTTCACCTCCCCCTATTTTTCTGTCTTCACTATTTAGACAGTGAATTGGTGGCAGAGCCAGAATTAGAACCAGGTCTTCTGCCTATGTCCTTCCTCTAGGTCATCCTGCTTTCCCTTGGTGACCTCGGTCCTGTGTCATTGATGTATTTAATTAAATGAATTACCAATGCATGTGTTTCCTCTTGGATTTCTGATCACACATTGCCTTCCTACAGCACATCCTTCCTACAATGTGCCATATTATCAGCATTACTTAGGCGGAAAAGATAGGCCCATGGCATAATCTACCAGCAATGATGCATGCTGCCTAGCACCATCCATCATTGCATCTTTTGAAGCCCAGAATACCTTCATGGGGAAGGGGAAGGGGGGGGAGAGTTTGAACTCTCTCCGTCCCCCCCCCCGCAACACACACACTGAAACAAGGCTGCAAGGGTCCCACTGCCAGTGCACCTCGCCCAGAATTGGAAGATCTTCGGTTCTAGCCTAGGCTGGCAACAAAACAGAACAAAAACAAGTTGCACCATCCCCACCCCACCCAGGAGCTGGGATGGAGGGATCCATGGAACTTGACCCCACCCCTGATTTTTCCATCAGCGTGCTGTGCAAGTCAAGCTGGAATTCAATGCCTGTGTAGATGAAGTTGAATTGATCCCAAGACCCATGGTTCAGTTAATGGGATGGACTCCCTTATACCCAGTATCCTTTCTTCTGCCCCCATCATAGACCTGTGGCCATCTTCTCTCCCCGCAAGAGACATCACTGCTTTTCTTGCAGCTCTCAAAGGAAAAGCATTAGGTTTCCTAATGCACTTTGTATATTACTGGGCTGATGCTGGAAGCTGAGCCCTATCTCTCTGGCACCAGTTCTGCACTGATGTAACTCAGCTGATTTCGAAGAAGTTAGGCTCTGATCCAGCTAAGCCTGTGTGTAACCTTAAGTGTGCAAGGAGTCCGTTGACTTGAATCAGGCCTTGCTCCTGTGTCACTGAGAACAGCACCAGGCCTCAAGTCTTATCAGTGGTCCATGTAGGTGGGTGTCATCCCACTTACGCTAAGGCCCCAAAATACCAGGCCCGGGTTACATGTCTTACGTGTTCTAGATCTGCAGGGCCGACCCTTGTGTTTCAGTGACAAACTGGGTCGCAATTTAAATGGCCATTCAAAACCAATGCTTTAATCGATGCTATTAACAAGACAGGTGCAAACTGATGCTAAATAAAGACCTGATCCAGCAAAATAAAAGAGAGAAATAATAAATATTAACAACAAGAGGCCCAAGGTTTGCTGATCTAGTGGATGGATGGGGGGAAATAATAGATATGATATATCTTGACTTAAGTGAAACTATAGTAAGGCTTTTGACACAGTCCCAGATGACATTCTCATAGGCAAACTAGGGCGATGTGGTCTAGATGGATGTCCAAGTGGCTGAAAGACCATGCCCAATGGTTCACCCTCAGACTGGGAGGACATACCTAGTGGAGTCCTGCAGGGGTCAGTCCTGGGTCTGGTCAATTGGCATTGGTCAATATTTTCTTTAGTGACTTGGATAGTGGAATGGAGAGTGTGACTTTAAAATCTGCAGATGACACCAAGCTTGGGAGGGGTTGCAAGCACTTTGGAGGCCAGGATCAGACTTTAAAATGACTGTGACAAATTGGAGAATTGGTCCGAAACCAGCCAAATGAAATCCAGTAAAGCAGAGTGCTACACTTAGAAAGGAAAACTCAAAGGCGCAACTACAAAACAGGGAATAACTGGCTAGGTAGTAGCACTACGGAAAAGGATATGGGGTACTATAGTGGATCACACACGGACTGAGTCTCCAATGGGATGCAATCGCGAAAAGGGCTAAGGTCATTCTGGGGGGTATTAACAGGAGTGTAATTTGTCCCGCTCTATGCGGCACTGGTGAGGCCTCCATTGCAGGACTGCGTCCAGTTCTGGGCACCACCCTTTAGAAAAGATGTGGACAAATTGGAGAGAGTCCAGAGGAGAGCAACAAATATGAGAAAGGGTTTAGAAACCCTGACCTGTGAGGGAAGGTTAAAAAAATGGGGCATGTTTAGCGTTGAGAAAAGACTGAGGCGGGACCTGATCACAGTCTCCAAATAAGCGAAGGGCTGGTCTGAAGAGGACGGGATCAATGGTTCTCCCTGGCCACTGAAGGCAAGACAAGAAGTACTGGGCTTAATCTGCAGCAAGGGAGATGTAGGTGAGATATTAGGAAAAGCTTTCTAACTCTAAGGGCAGTGAAGCTCTGGAACAGGCTTCCAAGGGAGGTTGTGGAATCCCCGTCAGCGGAGGATTTTAAGAACAGGTGGGACCAACACCTGCTGGGGTTGGTGAAGGTTTACACGGTCCTGTCTCTGGACTAGCTGACCTCTCGAGGTCCCTTCCAGCATCACACGTCTGATTCCGCGGAAGCCTGACGTTCTTGTGCAATTTCGACTCCATCCTCGCTCATGTGACACCCCCATCCAGCCACTTCCTGCTCTCCGGGAAGCCAGTGGAGCTGCAGACTTGCAGGAGCGTAGCTGAACTCTAGCTCTCTCTCAGTGCACCCGCTTCGGGTGGAAATGTTCTCACCGCTGGCTCAGCTCCTTGTCCCGAGGTCTGTTCGATACAAGGGTCCTTTAAGAAAACCCGGCTGCTAGGTCGGCTCTCTCCAGAGCACGGTGTCTGGAAGGTACACAGTGTTCTGATGCATCTAGCACAGCTGTCTTCCCTTAATGACTCCTCTGGCAGTTATTCCTCTCCAGCCCCCACCACTTTTTTGGCTACCAAACAACCTTCCCCTTTGCCAGGCTCATGCAAGCAAATCAGTTTGGCCGCCAAGCGGCACAGTCTTGGCTTTAAGAGCTTGATCCATAGCCCACTGTAGTCAATAGGCCCCAAATCAGTCTGCCAAGAGCCCTAATATGCTACTCACAGGCCTGTGAATTATCCCCTTAACTGTTATTTCACGCAGTTTGGGAAGGAAAGATGCCCGCTAGAGGAAGACAGTTGGCAATTCGATTTCTAGCCAGGCATTCCGAGGGAGGCTGGCGTGGAGTGGGGCAGAGTGGAGAAGATAAAGGAAAGCAACAGGACAGATCGCTGCGGTTCTGTCTGGTGCCTGGGAAAGTGGGTCACAGAGCAAGCCAGTGACAGATTCAGACACTCACAGACTTCAGTGAGGGGGGCCACATAAGTAGATGATTAGGTTGATTCATGGCTCACAGCCACATGCTCAATCCAGTAGACTGCTCTGCCTCTTTGGGAGAGGGCCCCAGCAATTAAGGAAGCACAATAACGCTGAGCCCCATAATACGGAGCAGGGACGGGAACAGCTTCATTCCTCTGTGCTGCCGATTTTGTTACACCAGCGTGACACTGTTGTGTCTGAAATCTAGCATTGGGGAAAGCTTGACTTGAAAAGATGAAACCTCCCGGAAATATGTACGTGTGTGTGTGTGTACGTGTAGGTGTGTATCTACAGCTACATCTGTACATGCATGTGTGCACATAGGTGTATGTACATGTAGAGGCATGTGTACATGTATGTGTGTATAAGTGTGCATGCATGTGTTTGTATGGGTGCGTGTATATGCACGTGTGTGTGTACGCGTGGTACGAGCATGTGCACGCGTGTGTACATTTACTTGTGTGTGTTTAGGTTCCCTGCCATGTCAAATACTGTCAGGAATATAAAATGCACCTAGCCAAACATTTCCTGTATCCCAGCTGTCAGGCTGCCGGGAAGCTGCCTTTTCTCCTAAGGCGATGGGATGCGTTTAGAGGAAGCTCTTCTAGCCAAATATTGATTCTAATAAAAATACATAAGAGACACGGAAAGCCCTGGACGTGCTCTTGCTATCGGCAGTTAGGGGGTGCAGAGCAGGGGCTGAGAATGGGGTTTAGTTGTGATAGGCAACTGGCTTGAGCCAAAGGGGGAGAGGAATCTAACCACAGCTGAACTGCCGCAGATATTTGGACAGCTTTCTCCCCGCTGTCATGCTTCATTACCCCCGAGTCTCTATGCGCTCCTGGCTGCCCTCGGGGATCAGAAGCTGGAACACTGGAAGCGGCGCACAAAGGCTGCCTGTATTGATTCCCTAGCCCAACAGAAGCACCAAGGACTCAAGTCCAAATGTTTGTTACCATAGGCTCCCAGTCGTGTTATCTGGAGCCGGAGCACAATGGAGGGGGGCAAGGAGCAGCCAGAAAAGAGGAGGTTGCCATAGTCACAGCTTAGGGGGTTCTCACACCATAGAATCATAGAATATCAGGGTTGGAAGGGACCCCAGAAGGTCATCTAGTCCAACCCCCAAACCATCCTTTGGAGCATCTGGTACGGCCACTGGTAGAAACAGTTTACTGGACTAGATGGGCCACAGGGCTGAACAGGGCTGGCAATTCCCGTGTCCTCGGGCGTGGTTAAGAGAGAATAAATATGGAGCCACAATATCATTTATTCTCTGGCTTGGCCCCAACCCTGCAATCAAATCCATGCACCCCTCCAGAGATCTGTCCATGCAGATCCAAGTGCAGGATTGGGGTCCATAATTGTACTTAAAACACACACACACACACACACAGTAATCAATCCTCTTCACTCTCCATTGGCCCTGAAACCCTTGAACCTTGGGGGGGGCGGGGAGGCGCATGTTCTGGCTAATTTTATCCTTTTCCATTTAACAATGTAAAAAGAAAATAAGTTTTATGAATGGGGCTGAAATTAACATGGTTGTGTTTGTTTCACCACGAGACTGTGGAGTGTAGCTCAGGGAGAGGAATGGCAATAGGACACGAGGCTCCATTTTCACCTCTAGGTCACAGGTCGGACCCTGGCTCAGCTGGTAGTGGGCAAAGTGAAGTCACCACCATCTGGCTGCGTTCCAGGATCTGAGGGATCCAAACATCCCAGGCAATGGTGGGTTCCAAATCCAGATGCCAAACCTCACTTTGCAGCTTGGGCTCTGTCTGGATTGACCGGGTATGGTGTGTCGTTGAAACGTACTACACCTGGACTCTCTTGGTTAGGTGTGGTTTGCCAGCAAAGTCCCATGGTATTATGTCGAGCCCTCCCCGACAAGGGGAGGTTGCAAACACTTTGAACAGGGGTATGTGGCTGCAATGGTCAGTTTCAGTGAATAACTGTGAATAACTTGGCCTTGAAATTCGCTGTCCACAAACACTCCTGCCAGCGCATCCCGACCCCACAAAAGCTCTTGGGATAAGACTGCTGAAGGTGTGTGGGATTCTTGAACGAGTCCCAGCAAATATTCCCAGAAACCATGTGCTGGGATTTGCCCAGCTCCAGGTCAGGTCTAGGTGCATTGTGAGGAGAGGGAAAGGCGGGGAGGGTGTTTCTAAAGGGCAGACCGCTCTGCCCAGTGCTGCATCTGCTGTGAGCAGAGGGGAACGTTTCCCTTTTTCATGTCCACTGAGAGGTATCATTGCTGGCCTGCGGGGTCCCAGGAGATAGCAGCATGCACCATAGTGGGCGCATGTAAGGCAGGGCACGTTTGGCTGGAGTGTAACTGCAGCAAGCGGTATCCTTGCCAGAGACGAGTGAGCAGTGTGTGCAGATCAGAGGGAGGGCAGGAGTCGGGGTTCTCTCTTTTTCAAAGACAAAGCCGGCCAGTGAGCTGGAGAAGGAGTGAAGGTGGGAGAGGAACAGATACGGGCCTTTCCTCACCCATGAGCCAGCTGAGGTTTTGCTTCCTCTCTCTCTGGCTCAGACTCTAGGCTCTAATTGTTCCTAAAATACTGCAGCCTGGATGCGCATACACAGAGAGAACCTGCATTAACAGCCACTGGCACGAGGCAATCAGCCACCTAAGCCACTGTCTGAGGCGGTCTGACTACAGGCACGGTACCTAGGAGCCGCTGAGCCTAATTCCCTCCTCTGACAATGCCTCTCCCTGCCCCCTGGGGCCGGTCCCTTACCCGCTCAGCCTCAGTGTCCCCAGCTGTAAAGTGGGGCTAGTTCTCACCTGGGGCCTAGTGGGGACCAATCAGTAAATGTCTGTGGAGCACTGCGTGCTGTCGGAGTAGATCTCAGTGGGCACAATATAGCACCCCCCAGAGGGGACGCTGTTGGGCTGTTATTTAAAGATCCGCCCCTGCTGGGTTTCTGATTTTTGCTGGGCTCTTGGGTGGCTGCTTGAGGCAGGTTCTAAGGTGCCGCACATCCTGGGCTAAATTCCACCAGTGCAATTGCGCTGACATCTCTAGTGGCCTCCAGGGCAGGATTTGGCCACCTGGCATTAGAGGTGGCCCTGAACCAGCCCGCTGGAGCTCAACTCCTGTGGACTTTGGAGCGTTCAGAATCCAGCCCCATCTCGGTGACACACGGCTATTGCTCATTGCTCTGCCCTTTATAGCCACAAGACCCCTCAACCCCTGTGTATAGCGCTGCGGATACGCCCTGTCCCTGCCTGCTGCTGAGGTGTTCCTAAGGTGACGTACCTGTGGATCACAGCCTGGGGCACCCCTGCATAGTGAAGGCATTGGGCTGCCCCAGCCATGGAGTGACGTCAGCGGATCTGTGCTGAACGGACCCCCACCTTCCCCAACGTGTACCCATCGCATCATGCTCTGTTACCCCTTGGAGAGCGAATGCCGGATTGGCTGACTCGTGGCATAAGCAACTCTGCTACGAGACGGCAGCTCGTTTGGTGGTGCACCATGCCAGAGCTCTCTAGGTACCTGGTCGACAAGACGGCAGCTTGGTCCCCAGCTCCTCGCTCTTCCACACCCCCTTAGCATCACAGATGTACGTGCCTGGAAGAGAGCACAACGTTAGCTGGGAGCATAGACGCGCCTGCATGACCAGCTGCCTGTTGCTTATCCGAATGCAGGGTTTGCACATGTAGCCGGTGCATGTACCGTTGGCTGTGGGTTAGCCACGCATATTGACAGACAGCCTATGGGGTGTTGCCATAAATATATTCTAGGGGCCATAGTCTATGCTGGGCTTGCGGAGGTGCCCTGAAGGTGGAATTTGGCTGCCTTGGAGCAGGGTACCTGTAGCAGAGCAGAGCTAGGGAAGGGCAAGAGGAGCTGGGGAGCTCCAGCCTGGCAACTCCCCAGGCTGAGGCCTTGTTCAAGGCCTCAGGAGGTACTGGGGCTGCAGAGGTGCAGCCTGGGGAGAGGCAGAGGCAGCTGGTCCAACCCCCTCACCAATGCTGAGTGGCCAGTACAGATTGCAGTCTGTTCCAGAGAAAGGGGGCTAGATGATGACTGGCAGTAGCCACTCAGGCAAGGTGGGCCTAGGGGGAAGGGGTTCCCTTGGAAAGGGAGACCCAGCTGCTGCGGGCAGAACCCCATGGTAAGGGGCACCGGGGTCTGGGAGGGACATGCGGGGGGGTGCTCGATCTGCTACAAACCTGTTGTCGCTGCAGACCGCTCCCCGTGAGAGGGGAGAGTAGCTGAGATGATACCTGGCTGTCGATGGAAGCAGAGCTCTGTCCACTGTACAGTAAGGCTATTTCTAAACTGCAATCAAAGACCCAAGGCTGAAGCTGCGGCCAGTCCGGGGCAGCTGACTCCGGCTGGGGCGGTGGGGCTATCAGATTGCAGTGTAGAGGTTCAGGCTCCGGTTGGAGTCTGGGCTCTGGGTCCCTCCCTTGTGGGGCCTCGGAGCCCAGGAGGCACATGTAAGCAGGGATCCATGGGTTCCTTTCTAAGGAAGCTGCTGAGGAGTGGGGCTGTGTAGGAAGAGGTGCCAGAGTGAAGCTGGAGGGAGACCGGGGCCTGCCAGGGCAGGGAGTGGCTGCTGGGAGTGAGCAGACTCCAGGCAGGGAAGGCCTGGGAGCTCCCAGTGGGATGACTGGGAGGACAGCCTTCACAGGGATTTGAGAACTCTGTCTGGGGAATTATTTTGTTAGTGTAAGAAATCCAGGCTCAAGGAGGGGTTTGGCTGAGCTAGAGATGCGTTTGTGTGCGGAGTTCTTAAAGGGCCCTGAAGAAAGGAAACAGAGGCAGAACGCCGCAGGTCCACCTCTGGCCATGAGGGGGAGCTCAGGAAGCAGCCGACCCTGTGACAATTTTATTGTCTCTAGGTGATTCCAGGGGCCTGACCTGGAGGGGTGCTAGGCTCCCCCAGCTCCCATTGACTTCATCTGGAGCACTGGCTCCTCAGATCTTCTGTAGATCAGGCCCTGTATCAAATCCATAGGACCAGGAGAGCAGCTAGTCTGGCCCTCCTGCATATCACAGGCCGTTACGTTCCCCCCAGATCTCCTGACACTGAGCCCACTAACATTAGTTAGGCTAAAGCATTTCAATCCACTGTTGTGAGGAAAAGCATAGTTCTTCAAACTGCTACCCCGGCAAGCATCCCCGCAGATGCGTGCGCCAGGCTGGGGTCAGCCTGGCCTGAGTCACCAGTGAGGGCTGGTTCACACACTGCTGCAGCTCTGATTTAACTGAGTCAGTTTGGAAATCCATTTAGTTCAATCGGTGCGATCCTCTCACATGCACACTCTGGGTTTGGCAGCGCAGTGCTTTATACTGATTGGCCTCAATGGACGGATGTTAAATCAGTAGGAGTGTCTCTGCATTTGAAATACACCAGGGATCTGCACCGGTTTAGTGAAATTGGGGCAACTTTTGCACACAGACAAGCCTCATGTTCCCTCCGCTACACCCTGGCAGCCCTGCTGCCTTCTCGCTCCGCTCTGGGATACAGATGTGTGACTCCGTTTTCCACTGAGGGCACCATTGGGCTGTGCAATCGCAATTTAGTGAACACTTGTGTCGCGTAAAATCCAGCTCCTGGAACTGCACTGGTCCTGCAGGGCTAACAAGAGCGAACAGGCGTAAAGCTGTATTTCTGACGGAGCCACACCCAGGGGACAGGGCTGCCGAGTAACAAGGGGGCACTTTGCAGAGAACAACTGCACTTTAACTGTCTGTTCTGCCTTTAGCAACAAGATCAAATCTCAATCGCTCTTTCTGCCCCTGATTCCGCAGCGCACCATGGCCAGTTCGACCCTGCCATGGCAGAGTCAATCTGTGTAATATATCAGAGGGGCAGCCGTGTTAGTCTGTATCCACAAAAACAACGAGGAGTCCGTTGGCACCTTAAAGACTAACAGATTTATTTGGGCATAAGCTTTTGTGGGTAAAAAAAATCCACTTCTTCAGATGCATGGAATGAACATTACAGATACAGGCATAACTATATACTGGCACATGAAGAGAGGGGAGTCACCTCACAAGTGGAGAACCAGTGCTGACAAGGCCAATTCCGTCCGGGTGGATGTGGTCCCCTCCGAATAATTGATGAGGAGGTGTCAAGACCAAAAGAGGGAAAATTGCTTCTGTAGTGAGCCAGCCTCTCCCAGGCCCTATTCAAGCCCAGATTAATGGTGTCAAGTTTGCAAATGAATTGTAGCTCTGCAGTTTCTCTTTGAAGTCTGTTTTGGAAGGTTTTTTTTGTTGAGGATGGCTACTTTTAAATCTGTTGTTGAATGTCCAGGGAGGTTTTCCCTGCAATTTTCCCTCTCTTGGTCTTGACACCGCCTCATCAATTATTGGGAGGGGACCACATCCACCCTGACTGAATTGGCCTTGTCAGCACTGGTTCCCCACTTGTGAGGTAACTCCCTTCTCCATGTGTCCGTATATTTATGCCTGTATCTGTAATTTTCACTCCATGCATCTGATGAAGTGGGGTTTTTTACTCACGAAAGCTTATGCCCAATATATGTAATAGATACTTAGATACCCACTAGATTATTATTTGCACAATCTTTGCAGATATATGCTTATTATTAACACTAGCCTACTGCACATCGACTAGCCCAGCAATGAGCATGCCGCACGCTCTCCCTGTTCAGAGCCCCACCCCCACTTGCGTGGCCACAGCCCCTTCCCCAGCGGCGGATGGCCTCACCGGTGATATTTGGGGCCATCTGATAGTAGGGTCGCTGGCAGGAGTACCGGACCCCTGACCGGTACGTGGTGAGATTGTTCCTTGTGGCGAAGGTGACGGACCCGTGTTCCAGCTCCACCGGTGCTTTGCAGTCCGCAACTAAAAGTCCACGAGGAAAGGAGATTTTAGTAGCATATGTACATATCCCGCCTTAGCAGGCTCTGTCCGCTGCCTCTGTCGGGTATGGCTCTAGGGCTGGGGGAGTTTGAAAGGGGTTTGTATATCAGCTGGCCTGCCAGCTCCCCCAGAGCTAGGTCGGCAGCAGCTGGGGATGTGTGCGCGTGAGATGGTTTTAACCCTTCAGGCACTGAGGAGAAGTATATCTGTCTTTAGTTCCTCGTCTTTCTCTTTCCTTCCAGCGGGCCCTCTCAGCCCTTTCCCATTGGACTCGCTCCTTCCTGGCCCTGTCGAAGTCAATGGGAGTTTTGGCATTGATTTCAACAGGCCGTGATTTCACGCTTTAGCCTCACCACGCAATGCCTTGCACTATGCCCCAAACCAACCCTTCCCTTTGTGAGTCTGCCTACTCCATCCCTATGCAGGACAATGGTTTCCTGTGATAAACCGTAACTCCAGTCAGTCTGTGAGCAGAGATGACTCTGTCTTACCAAATCCAGTCCAGGTCACTGATGCAATGAACCAGCCAGTGTGTATGTTCACCCTTGTGTTGCACTGAACGGAACCAGGATTGCTCAGCTGTGTGTCATAGGCATTATACTGCTAATAGCTAAGGGAGATTCTCTTTTGGCTCCAGTGGTAGGGCCTGGCCTTTGGGATGAGGAGAATGTGAGTTCTAGCCCTGCTGTTGCTGTGAAAGTCTGAGCCATTGTGGTGTGCATTGTAACCAAAATCACTAGGCAGCTATGGATTTGTTACCATAAAATCCCTCGATATTATTGGTTAGGGAATGAATACTGCACAGGTGAGTAGGAGCTATCCGGTCAGATACACATGTCAAAGCGGTTCTGATGGCTTCACGGGAACTCTGGGAATGGAGTGCGAAGGGTTCATGCCATTGCTGGACTTGAGTACTGTATGGGGAACCTGGAACCTGTGCTGGGGTTGGGTTCTCAAAAGATTTGACCAGCTTTTAGACACTCAGTTATTACACTTTGCCTTGCCTCCTGGTGAGTGTTCATTCCCATCAGAGCCTGGGAAAGGCAGGCATTGGTGTAATCATGACCAGCCGGGCCCAGACAAGGGGGGATCCCATGATAAACACGTCAGTAGCTTTATCCAGCTACACAGTTGCTGGTAGACAAATACCTAGAATTGTCAGGCAGCAAATTAATCACTAGAAGGCGCAATGCAGCCCCAGGAACGTAACAGCCAGCACAAGAGCAAACTAATGATATAAACACAAGGGTGAGGCGTTCAAAGGGCAGGCCCTGCTCATACTAACCCCTACAACTGCCTTTTTCATAGGACAGACAGCCTGTGAAAAAGGCCACTTGATCTTTAAAGATTCTCTGGCAACTTGGTGCAGTAAGCAGGGTGTGCTGTGAATTCAGATCCTCTCAATGGGCTATTTATTATTTCAGCAGCACCTACTGCCACCTTAGCCTACATTGTGCTTGGCACTGTACAAGCACAGGGTGAGAGACGCTGCCTGCCCCGATGAGCTTACAATCTGAATAGAAGACGGACAGACTCGGGGGGAGGTGAAGAGAGGCAGGAAACACCTGGTACAAAGTCATTCAGTAAGTCGGGTCAGAGACAGGAAGAGAACCCACGTGTCCTGGATCCCAGCCCAGTGCTCTGTCCATTGACTCACATGGCTGCTTGGATTGATGCTTTTGCTTAAACGTGGGCTTTTGTTGTTCCCCATCCCTCACTTTGTCTAGAGCTCAGCCCTGCAAACGCTACCGGAAACCAACAGAACTACTCCCCTAGCAAGCACCACACCAGCTAGGAAGTGTTTGAAGGATCAGAGACTTAGGTTTTGTCTCCATTGCAACCGTTAGCGCCGGTTACCACACTGAAGTTATGAGCTAGCTTAGGGTGAGAGAGAGCGGCCACGCTGCAAAAGAACACTGGAGCGACACAGCGCTATTGGGTCAGCCGCTGAGGAGTTGTGTTAACACCGGCTGTAGTCCCATGCCTACTGCATCATTAGATGGAGCAGCAGTAAGATTTGAGCTCCCACCACCCCTGAAATGTGTCAGCTAGCTCTGGTTTAAAGCCCCACTTAACTTAAACTAGAGATTTGTGTGTGTGGATGGAGTCAGGGTAGCGGCAACACTCAAGTTATACCTTGAGCTAACACGCAGGTTAAGACAAGCCCTGCAAATTCTTCTACAAATTGAGAAGACTGCCCATTCTTCCGGACAAGGACGTCATATTTGTCTCTGAGCTGCATAGCGCATTGTTGGCACTGTATAAATAATAATCAGCCGACAGGCTACATTTTTGATGTCGGGAGTGCTGAGTCACGCAACTGACGTCATAGGGGAAAAATGGATCTTCATGGTAAAACCGGACAAACTTCAAAACTTCCTCCCCTGCCGTTTTATTTTCTTGCAGCTTCCTGGCTGGGGCTTTGTCATGTTTTAAAGTGGCAACATATTTGGATTGGAAACGGAGGCTGCTGTCATGACTCTGGGGCTAATCAACGTCTGTGGTGACCTGCTGACCAGAAGCAGTAACTCCGGGGTGTTATAAGAAAGCCCATGGGAAACGTATGCTGTTGTTGTTAATTATTATTATGTGTATTATGGTATCACCTGGGAACCCTAGTCACGAACCAGGGCCGCATCATCTCAAAAAAGATATACTGGCATTAGAAAAGGTTCAGAAAAGGGCAACTAAAATGATTAGGGGTTTGGAACGGGTCCCATATGAGGAGAGATTAAAGAGGCTAGGACTTTTCAGCTTGGAAAAGAGGAGCCTAAGGGGGGATAGGATAGAGGTCTATAAAATCATGAGTGCTGTGGAGAAAGTGAATAAGGAAAAGTTATTTCATAGATTCATAGATATTTAGGCCAGAAGGGACCATTATGATCATCTAGTCTGACCTCCTGCACAATGCAGGCCACAGAATTTCACCCACCACTCCTAAAAAAAGACCTCACACCTATATCTGTGCTATTGAAGTCCTCAAATTGTAGTCTGAAGACCTCAAGGAGCAGAGAATCCTCCAGCAAGTGACCCGTGCCCCATGCTACAGAGGAAGGCGAAAAACCTCCAGGGCCTTCCAATCTGCCCTGGAGGAAAATTCCTTCCCGACCCCAAATATGGCGATCAGCTAAACCCTGAGCATATGGGCAAGATTCATCAGCCAGATACTACAGAAAATTCTTTCCCGGGTAACTTGGATCTTACCCCATCTAAAAACCCATCACAGGCCATTGGGCCTATTTACCATGAATATTTAATTACCAAAACCATGTTATCCCATCATACCATCTCCTCCATAAACTTATCGAGTTTAATCTTAAAGCAAGATAGATCTTTTGCCCCCACTACTTCCCTCGGAAGGCTATTCCAAAACTTCACTCCTCTGATGGTTAGAAACCTTCGTCTAATTTCTAATCTAAATTTCCTAGTGGCCAGTTTATATCCATTTGTTCTTGTGTCCACATTGGTACTGAGTTTAAATAATTCCTCTCCCTCTCTGGTATTTATCCCTCTGATATAATTTATAGAGAGCAATCATATCTCCCCTCAACCTTCTTTTAGTTAGGCTAAACAAGCCTTGTTCTCATATTTACTTGTTCTCATAAGAACTTGGGGCCACCAAATGAAATTAATGGGCAGCAGGTTTAAAACAAATAAAAGGAAGTTCTTTTTCACTCAGCGCACAGTCAACCTGTGGAACTCCTTGCCTGACGAGGTTAGGAAGGCTAGGACTATAACAGGGTTTAAAAGAGAACTGGATAAATTCATGGAGGTTAAGTCCATTAATGGCTATTAGCCAGGATAAGTAAGGAATGGTGTCCCTAGCCTCTGTTTGTCAGAGGGTGGAGATGGATGGCAGGAGAGAGATCACTTGATCATTACCTGTTAGGTTCACTCCCTCTGGGGCACCTGGCACTGGCCACTGTCGGTAGACAGGATACTGGGCTGGGTGGACCTTTTGGTCTGACCCAGTCTGGCCGTTCTTATGTTCTTATTGCACTAGGCCCTGTACGCACAGAGAACAGCCTGTAGTTACTAAGCTGCACAGAACAGAACTTTCACAGGCTACTGCCAAACTGGCTACGAGAACTGTGGTGAGGTCACTAAGATCAGAGCTCTTTTATCTGGTGAGCCTCGGGTACCTGCCTGGGGGAGCTGAGGGCCCAGGCAGAAATGAGCACTGGCTCAGTCTTCCACACGATTGATTTTTGGTAGAGGCTCTGAGTTACAGGTGTGCAATGAGCCTCTTGGAAAAGAATTACCAGACAAAGAGGGGTAGGATGGTATTGTCCGAACATCCCTCTCCAGACAGACACACACTCTGCCTTCTTCCTCCGCTCTGCCTTTGCTTGGGGCACTGCTGGATGTCAAAGCCATCTGGGCTGAGACTACAGATTATGCTCTTTGTGACTGGAAAGCCCTAAAGCCCTAACCCAGACAGCCCTGGCCATTCAGGTGTCTGTATGCACAACATTATGGAGTTACCAGCGTGTATCAATCAATGCCCTCCACAAGTTATTAGCACTGGGCATGACGGTAATGCTGTCATGCCATTTCCAGGGCCTCTGCCTTCGACTGCCGGTACTTCCAGGCCTGTGCACACTCAGATGCACCAATCTCTGAGCCTTTGCTTCAAAACACTGCACAAGAGTTGAGTGGCACCCAAGCAGACTTGGTTATGAATCGTTGAGGGTGGGTTTGCAGTTGGAGAGACTGTGGTCTCTTGAGATGGATAGCAAAAGGGGAGGGTCAGGAATGGAGAGACAATGGTCTTCCAGAGGTGGCGGCAGCTTCTTCTGCTCCATCATCATGATCTTCCTCCGCCTTTCAGTCTCATGCTGCCCGCTGTGGGGAAAAGGCCTCCCGTTAGCAAGGTCTTTAAGCTGCCAGAGATGGGCCGGGTCACAGGCCTTCCTCGTGAACGATGGGCGGTGCGTAGTGGTGCTGGCAGCAATGGGCTGAGGATGTGGCCTTCTCAGGGC